TAATCTTCACCACAACCCTATAAGACAAGCTCTTCTACGACCTTAACATAGCAGCTCAGGAGACGAACTCTTGGGAAACACGACGGACCTTGGCCAAAGTCACCCAGCTCCAATGTGTTGGGCGTACGTGAACGAAGGGAGTTTGTTTCCCACTCTGCTGTGCTGCCCTCCAGCCAGGGACACAAGCCCAGAAGCAGAGGGGCTTCCACAAGCAGCTGCCTCTTTTGAATTCAGATGAGTTTTCAGTGAGCAGCTCAGCTTTTCCTTTCATGTAGGTGGAAGCCTTTCCTTTGAATGAGCCAATTATGTTCAAAAAGCAAAAAATAATGTATGCATATTAGCTAATGAGGATGCAATTCAGGATATTTTTAGCCAAGCTGAGAAAGAGAGAGAGAGAGAGATGAGAGAATGGAGCTTGGTAGAAATTGTTTTGAAAGAACAGGCGGCTTGGGAATCAGACATCCCTTTAGCACAGCTCTCAGCTCTTACTGCTTTTGGCTGGGTGACCAAGGGGAGAGTCACCTCCCCTCTCTGAAATGTGCAGCATAATACCAACCTTTTGGGGGTGTGGCAGGGATTGAAGAGAATGTGAGTAAGGCACGTGGTCACCAATTGCATCTATGATCAGTATTCATTTATCAAATACTTTTAGTATTGCTGGATCCTCAGATTTTATAAATACAATGCTTTTATCCTAACCACCATTTTATGAAGCAAGTACTAACGAATCTCCATTTTCCAGATGAATGAACTAAATTAAGGTGAAGTCATTTGCTCTTCTAGCAGGGTTAGGAGTCAAGCCCGGGTAGGCGGCACCCTAACCACCATGCGACGCTGCCTCTCTTGTCACTAAAGAAATTTGACTTTGATCCCTGGAAGCAGAGCTCACAAGGGGCTGAGACATTAGTTTCAGGAGGTAAGGTCTCCTTTGGGGACCTCAGCAAGCTCCCTACAAATTAAACACACCTCTGTCATTGAACTGGGTCAGGGGACCTCCTCCCCCATGTCTTGGCCACTCTGCTCAGGCCAAAAGGTCAGAGAACTGGGGTCTTACTCTTCACTCAGATGCTAAGGCAAATCTGTTGCCGTCCCTTATTTTGCGGGCCTTGCCGTGTGAAGTGGGAGATATGTTAGGGTTGAAACTTTAGGATTCAGTAAACTCACAACAAAAATGCTAACATGGTTATGTGAGATACTGGCTTAGGAGGAAAAGTTGCTGAAATAAATAGGGAAAATGATATCCTATATATTAATAATATATATAAATGTATATAAGGAAGAAAGTACAAAATAAAGGAAAACTAGCGAGAGAGTCCAAGTATATAATGTGGCAGAGTCCTGCCTACTCTCCAGCTCACTTCCCGAGGGGTAAAGGCACATGGTGACCATCTGCAACAGGTAGAGGGGAGTAAGCACAAGCTTGGAAACTGAGACGTACAGAAGTGTCTGTGCAGGTAGTATCACACACACCGTTGGGCTTTTTATCTGCTAGGTTTGCTTAGTTAGCCTGTGTTGACAAGAGTTGAGAAGGGCAAGATCCTAAACCTCTTCTTTCTCATCTCTGGAAGTTTCAATTCCAACAGTTGATTATGCCATGTACTTGGCAGAGAGGTCTCCTTTTGTTTGAATAACTGATTCACCTAGGTTGAGTGGAACTATGAAATAAGCCACTGAATTATAGCATTTTATACCTGAAAAGGACTTTGGAGAGAGACCATCTGGTCTGATTCTTTTACTTTAGATATAGGGAAACTGAGACTCAAAAATAGTGTCTTGCTGAAGGTCATATAGCCACGATGGCTTGGCTGAGACTGCTGGCTGTCTTGCAATATGTGTCCTCCCCTTATTCTCTGCAAAGACTCATCACCCCTCCAGCTGTGCACACGATTGTCTGAAACAAAGGCTATCTTTTCCAGTCAGATGTGCTTGTAGAACTATGTTTTGGCCAATGGAATGTAAATGGCAGTATACTTAAAGCTTAGGGGTTGGAGTCGGGCATGACCGTCTTCCTTCCTGCTGGCTGGGTTGTGGATTAGACTGCTAGAGTTCAAGCAGCTCTCCTGGACCAGGAGGTGGAAGGTGCACTTGGAGGAGAGGGGAGCAATAAGATAAAATTCTGGGTCATTGACCTCAGTGAGGTCACAGTGTGATGGGAACAGAAGACAGGTGTATAAGAATACACATCACCACACGGCCAAATCAGCTGCCCTGTCCTGTTCCCATGCCTTCTTCTCTCAGAGTGCGTTATTATGGAATTGTCATACCAGCTCTGGAATGTTCATTTTCAGGCCTTATGTGAAAGAGAAATAAACTACTTTTCTCAGTCACTGTTATTTCACTCTTCTATCCTTCACAGTGAACTGAATTCTAACTGATTCAGAATGAAAATAGTTACATTGTGGGTTGGGAATTTAGGTCTCTTGAATCCAAGTATAGAATTATTTGTTATGAAGATTATTACTATTAAAAATAAAAGCTAAACTCTGCTCAGTGTCCTGTATATAATAGCTGCTGATAATTTTTGAGTGCTCACTATATGCCAGTCGCTGTTTATGTACTTCATAAGTGTCATTAACTCATTTAATTCTCATGTCAACTCAGTAAGCTCTATTGCCCTAACTTCCCTTTTACAGACACAGGAATAGAGAGAGTGAATAACTTACCCAAGGACACACATTTATTTTAGTAAGAGGCAGGGCTGAGATTTGAACCCAGGCAGCCTGGTTCCACTCAGATGCTATGACAAGTCTGTCACTGTCACTCATTTTGTGGGTCTTGAGATGTGAAGTGGGAGATACGCTAGGACTGAAGCTTTAGAATTCAATAACCTCACAACAAAAATACTACAACGGTTATGCAAGATACTGGCTTATGGTGTGAGCTCCTCATCATCCTCTACACCCACTTTACCAAGGAGGAAACCAAAGCAGACAATTGTCTAATTAGGTGCTTAGAACCTCTCCACTAGTCAGCGGTGCAGATAACAGTGTAAGCCAGACTCCTGACTCCTAGTTCAATGCTCTTTCCAGACCACCCTGCAGTCTCAGGGGCCACCTGGACAGATACATAATCCCTTGCTCCCACCTCCAGTCTCCCCCCCAACACACACACGCGTGCACACACACACACGCGCGCCACCCAGCAGGCACCCAGACATTTTTGTGGCCAGGATGGCTACAACCTCCTTTGAAAAGCAGCCAACTTTGCCCTTCACCAAATAACTTTGTTTTATTTATAGACTCCTGCTCAGAGCTTTTGAACTGGCTGCTCATTCCAGGGAAGATCTTGATAACAACTGTTCCTTGGAGAGGGTTCATAGGAAACAAGGTGAATAAACACCACAGAGCCCTGCCGGTCTGGCAGAGCTTGGCTCCTGGGGGTGTTTATAAGTCGGTGTTGGTGTCTGGGTGCAAAAGACTTTGAATTCAAAATGGCAGTTTGAAAGTTTTCAATGTTTTTGTTTTAATTTAAAAAAGTTCACCTCTTGCCTTCAATAACCCCAGGGCAAAGGCAACAGAAAGAAATTATCTTTATTCAGAACGGAACTTCAGAAGAAGAAGGGAGTTCTTGCTCTCTTTGCCTCCTGCCTGGCTGGGGCCTAGGACCAGTGACTGTAGTGACTGTGGGGCCGGGGAGAGAGAGAGTTTCTAAGAGCTAAATTGGCAGAAGGAATAAAGGGCATTTCAGAACAGAAAACTGGGAAGGAAAGAAAGAAAGGCCTAATTTCAAAAGTGAACTGGGAACCTACGCTGTCTCCTGACTTATGTCCAAAGGTGTTATTCGAAAACATAACTGTGTCTCAGGTGTGTGGGTTTTTTCAGCCTGGATGCTGATCTCTTCTCACCAGGTGCTAGTTGGGTAACTTGGAGCAAATGCGTCAGTCCCCTCTTTGGGAAATGGGGTTTAAACCCCCAAGATTATTGTGAGGGTTGGTGTTACCATGCAGGGGAAAGACAGTGCCTGGTTCAGGGAGGGCGCTCACTCACCTACTTACTGAACAGTAGCTAATGGTAGCTATGATTATGGCTTCCTTTGTGATTCCTCCAGGCCTAGAGGAGATGACACTGCGGTGCTCATGAAAGCGAGCCCCAAGGGGGACCAGGACTAAGTGACAGTTGGTGATCTTGGCTCTCAAATACCTTCATTGGCATTGAGCTAGTTTTTATCAGTGTCTGTTACGGTGACATGAGTTCTCTCTTTTGGAGCCTCCTCCTCCCCTCCCCCGCCCCTGCCCCAATGGCTGATAAAGGGAGACAGAGGCCCTCAAGGATAAGGCAGAACAGAACCGCTGACTGGGTCCCATGAAGCCCCCAGGTGGCTTTCCTGTGGGTATGCGAGGTCTCCAAGGTCTAAGGGGTGAGGGAGGGGCCTCCATCAAGGGTCATGTTGGGAAAGTAGATGGTGTGACAGACAAGAGGGTCTGTGGCTCCCTTAAGGAACTTACTGGAAGGTATGGGATTTTCTAAGGGAAAACGTGTGTTTTCCTGGAGGCTTGAGTGGGAGGCAGATACCTCTACACCAGAGCTATTGGGTGGGAGAATTCCGTAAGGGAAGAATGGGTGAAGGCTTCTTCAGGTGACCGCAGGGGTCTCTACGGGTTGAGGGTCTTTTCAAGGGGGTTGTCGGTGCAGTTCTCTATATGGAGCTCTTTCAGGGCCTGAACGCGGGAGGTTTGGCACTCAGAGCTCCGGGCGTCCGTGGGCGGAAGCTAGGTCCGCCCCCACACCCCCTCCGGCGGCCCCACCTCCAGGGAGCGGACTACACTTCCCGGCAGCCCCTGCGGGCGGCGGCGGCGCGGGAGGGAGGGGGCGGCTGTGTGAGAGGCGGCGGGGGCGGCGCGCGCCGGGCACGCGCGCCGGCGACCATGGCGTTCGCCGGGCTGGAGCTAGTACATTAACCCCAGGAGGCGGCGGCGGCGGCGGCGAGGGAGCGAACCTCGAGCTGGCGGGCCCAGCCTGAGGGCAGGGAGGAAGGGGCGGGGAGAGCGCCGGAGGGAGGCCGGTCGGCCGCGGGCGGGCGGGCAGGCAGCGCAGCGCCGAGCGGGGCCGCGGGCCCATGAGGAGGCCCGGGGACCATGGGCTCCAGGATCAAGTGAGTGCGGCCGCGCCGGGCGGAGCCGGGCCGGGCGCGGGGTGGCGAGGCCGGGCAAGGGCTGCAGGCCGTGGGTCGCGCGGGGGACTTGTTGCCGGGACCCCAGGGGCGCCCCGCGTGCCGGCGTCACGCGGGGAGGGGGACGGTTGCCATGGCGATCCAGGGAGGCGCAGGGGCGGGGGTGGTAGGGCGCCGGTGGTCAGGTGTCCCCTCCTCACCTGAGGCAGGGAGCTGTTGAGATTAGAAGGTGGCTTCCTCCCCGGGGTCACAGAGAGCCTCTGAAAATGGTTTTACAACTGTTGGGGGGAGGGCGACAAATCTCCGGAAGCAACTTGCCGAATGGGTGTGTTTGGGGCACCCCTGAGAGTTGGGCAGGTCCTGAGAGGTGGCAACCCTGCTGCTTAAGGCCTGGGGCCCCCCACAAAAGTCGCGCGAGGTTTTGAGAGAGAGGGGGGAACCACTAACGGACCTAAGGTCTGGGTGACCTGGGGTGAAGGCCCTTTTCTCTTTCCTACTGGTTCCCCTCTTATCTGTGAAAGTCTCCACACCACAAGGGCCGAAGGCTGTGATGAAGATACCTCTGTGCTGTAACTGAGCACCTGATAATCGTTGGAAAAGCTTTGTAATCCAATCTGGCAAATTCCGCACTCATTCATTCACCTGGAGTCCCTGGTGGGGGTTAGTTTTCCCGGGAAACTGTTGATACAGTTAACTTCAGAACTCATTGAAACATTGTTTCCCTCCTTCTAGACTTCGGAGTTGGCTTTGGAAAGTGCAGCTTTTTTGCAGTCCAATTTGGGTGTGTTGTTTTGGACTCTTGTCTCCCCTCCCAGCCAGGTCCTCTTTTGGCTTCTCCCTTCCTCTGCTCCAGAACATGAGATGCCTTATCTAATTACTAACAAATGTTCACTTTTTCTCTGTGAGTAATAGAATTGTTTTAGGGCACTTAAAAACAAAGTTGACAGCATAGGCTTTTCCCTAAAACATCTTTCATAGGACACTTGAAACCTGCTTACAAGAAAGCCTGTGGAATGTGTTTATTTCAGCATTTTGAGAATTACGCTAGGGGAAGTTTGAAAGGAGAAGGGCCTTAGGGGCAAATCTAATATTTAAATATTACATCCTTGTCCAATCGATGTCCATGCAGTGTGACCTTTATTCAGTCTTGCAGTCCCCTGAGGCTCAGGCTTCCAGTCACAAAATGAGACTTCTGCTGAATGAAACTAGGGGAGTTTGCTTATGATAGTGAAGATAGACGAGTGGGATGAGCACCCTATTAGTTTTTGTGGAAATGAGGGGAAAAACTTAGAAGCATGTTCCAACTAAGCGCTTCAGAGGCTTGGGAGGTAAAAAGACGGTGTGTGGAGCATTGGGATTAAAGAGACACAAGTTTAGCTCCTGCTTCCAGGGAAGAGTTGTGAACGTGGATTTCACTAGCACTTAGAAACACTTTTGGAAAGTCATCTTAGAGTTGCCCAATATGCTTGTTAGGGTGCTTACCCTTGTTGCACAGAAGTTCAGAAACTTGTCTGATAGGAGGCAGTGTCAGAGGCAGCGTGAAAATCCAACAAGTAGAAATTCAGATGATTAGGCATCGGGTCTCTGTTTTGCTTGTAAAGGTTGCAGGTTGACAATACTCATCTCAAGTGTGTTTTGGGATCCCATCACTGAGTGCTTGGGCAAGAGAAATTACTAATGCAAGAATTTGTATTGAGCATGAAATAGTAAAAGAATAGCCTTGATCTTGACACTAGATTGCTTTGTGATAAAAGTTTAGGCTTGGCAAAACAGAGACAGACTCATAGATGGAGAGCAGATGACAGCTAGTCGGGGGTGGGGGGCGGTTGGAGGTGCAGGGATTGAGGGAAAAGGAAAAAGGACTCATGGACAACAGGTTGGTGATAGCTGGGCGAGGGGGATAAAAAGGGGCTAAATGGTAATGGAAAATATAAAATAAAGATTAAATAAAAAATTTAGGCTTGGGAAATATATTAGCTTTAGTTGTGGTGAGACTGAAAGAGAACATGAAGAGAGAAGTTATGAAAAGTACTCGTGATTTATGGTGACTCTCGACTGCAGTTTCTGCCTGCAGCTAGGAATAGGGATGGGCAGGTGGTGAGGAAACCATCTACTTAAGGTGAAACGTTAGTTGCTGGAAGAAGCGGCTTTGGTTCCTGCTGATCATTCCATCCTGACAAGGTGTTCAGCTGGCTGAGGTGAAATTGAAGAGCAGCCTCCGTTGTGTAGGGCAGTCTTGGAAGGGGGCAGTAGAAGGCAGAGGGCACCCTGGGGTCCCTCCCAACAGGAAAGCACTATGGCTGCCTGCGTTTTCTCTGGCGTATCTTCAGTGCTCTTTGGCTTAGTCAGGCTAAGATGTAGAATCAGATCTGGATCCAGATTCCAGCTCTTTTTTTTCTTACTGGCTGTGAAACTTTACACAAAGTACCTTTTTCACCCTGAGGGTAGAATGGGGAAAACTATTGTTGCAGGTTCATTATGAGTAGTAACCCTAGTATCACCAGGGCTACAGAGCCCATATTAAAAACTCAATAATTGTTAGTATTCTTTTACACCTTCTCTATCAAAAGACTAAGAAAACTGGTATATTTTATACCAGGAATGTCAGAGAACTGGAAGTTTCAGGTAATGGAGAAGAATGATGATCAAGGAATTAGACTGTTAACGTGCACAGCTGAACTTAGCATTCTCTGAGTAAAAAATAAAAGTGATTAAAAACAATAATCTGTGTATAATTGTGAAGCTGGTGTTTCTAGGCATAGAAGTTGAGATTTAGTGCCTGATCAGACTTTCTTTTCAAGCTAAGGCTGGTTGTGCACAATCTCTGTGTTGGTCATGGTGATAATGCTTTATGTGAACCATTTCATCAAATCCTTACAACTGCCAGTGATGTAGGTACTATTAAATACATTTTTAAGATGAGAGAATGGGAGCCTGCAGGCCTAAGATCAGACGCCATCCCCTGGAAACCTGCCCTGACACCAGTTCCCCATCTCCCCCTGCCCCCAACCCCCCACCCAGCCTCGGCCCGGTGCCCCTCATCTGTGCACCGCGCCCAAGCCAGGTGCCCTCATGTGTTTCTATGGCTCCTTGTGTTTTATCACTGTCACAGCACTAAATCCAGTTACTCATCCGTCTCTCATACTAACTTGGGACATAACTTTTTTGAGAGTAGGGACTGTCTTGTTTGTCTTGAGTTTCCTGTGTCAAACCCAGTACCTGACACACAATATTGTTTAGGGAGAGTTTATGGAATGCATTTAAGAAATATGTTAGGATTTAAATGAAGATCATAATTGAGTGTACATGGAGTTAAAAGGACTTTTCTATTTGAACTCTGGAGGAGAAAGAGTTTATGTTTTATGAGTTTTTAAGCCAAATTGCCCTCGTCTAGGCAGACAGTTCCTTGTATTTTCTAAAGAGTGTTCAGTTCATGTTCATTTTAATAGAGGAACATTGTCTTGCCTCATGAAATAGTTACTTGATAAAGGGAAGAAAAGATCAGCAGTTTTGCAGGTAGTACCCTGGAAAGCTCCTAAACCTTAAAACTGAGCAGATATTTTCTAATCTAGAGGGATAAAAGGAGCAGTGGTAACTGGCATCTTCGACAGCTATGTTTAAATCTTATTTGGTGTTTGACTGATCCCAGTGGACTGGAATGTGGTTAATATGAAGCAATTTAACTGATAATGCAGACACACAGCAGGAAACTGTGTGGCAGTTTAATATTGCTTGTGGTGACATCCTAGAAATTGTTTCCAGGCACCAAGGGCAGGAAGTGGATTGTAAGTAATCGAAGGAAGTATTCTAAGTGAGTTTGAAGAAACCTGACATTTATGGACTCAGAGAAAAGCATACTCAGAGATTTGAAGGCATAGAGGGACAGGACAGGGCAGCTGATTTGGCCTTGTGCTGTGTTTATTCTGCATTAGCCTGTATACCTGTCTTCTGTCCTTGTCAGATGGTGACCTCTGAGGTTGGTGACCAAGAAATTTATCCGTTTATTCATTCATTCACTCACTATAGAACTAAGAAGAGTGTCAGGCACATATTAAACACTCAATAAATGTTAGTCGTCGTCGTTATCATAATTGGTAGTACTATATTATGTGCTTGGTAGTGCACTAGGACATAGAAATGAGATTTTTCCTTTACTTTAAGACTTCCCAAAGTAGTTGTAAGACAGAAATATAAAACAAAACCAACTCCATGCGGGGTCCGTTCCCCCCCCCCCCTGCAGTGTAGTGCAGTAAGATTATTGTTATGGTGAAGATGCGGCCAGTGATGAGTAGGTGAGTAAGTGAAGGAGAAACTCTTCTCTGGAGGGCTCAAGGCAGGAAAGCTTTGCCAAGACGATAATGTTTTAGTTGAGACAGGAGAGGTGAGGAAGGGTACGAAAGGGGCGAGTGCGGCGATGAGGCTGGCAGCGGTGGCGGCAGTGGTGGCAGTCTTCTCAATACAGGGACAGTACGTGTAAGGGACATGGCATAGGAGGGAAATGAAAGTACTAATTGTCATTTTATTAGGTACTTAGAAGCTAGGAATTGTGTTAGAAATTGGGAATTATAATGGTGAATAATGATCCATCTTCATTCCTACTCTTGTTGGAGCTTATAGTCTGTTGGACCTGATAATAAACCCAAATCAGTTCACATAGAGCTACGTGGATGTGGTATAAAGGAAACAAAATTCTAAAAGAGAATGATGAAGCAGCTGTCCTGTTTAATTAATTAATTCCTCACTCAAGGATATGTTTATTGATTTTAGAGAGAGAGGGAGAGAGCAACATTGATAGGGTGCCTCTCATATGTGCCCTAACCAGGGATTGAATCCGCAACCTAGGTATATGCCCTGGCTGGGAATTGAACCGGCATCCTTTTGGTGCATGGGACAGTGCTCCAGCCAGCTGAGTCTCCTGGCCAGGGCAGCAGCTATTCTACTTAAGATACAGAGAGGGAGGGAAGGCTTGCTGTGGAGATGAT